GTATCATTTTTACTCGATATTTATTTATTAGAACTGAAAAGAAAACATGAAGAAGGAAATGATACTCAGCAAATCGATACTAAATCTCATAATGACAATGTAAAAAAATCGATTGATGGAGAAAAAGGCAAAAATCAGCGGTAAGTCACTGTATCATGTAGTATATTGATTTGATGTAAAAACATTGGAAAAAAGCTTTATTGCGACTAAATTTATAAAACTCTTAATATTTTGAGAAAGTGTAATCACTACTATGATTTAATTAAACATAACATAATTCTGCCCTAATGCCGAAATATTCTCCACGCTTTATTAGAGATGCGTCAGTCTTACACCAAAACAATGTGGAAGCAAAAGGTTTCGTGTCAATGCTATGACTATTTAATTTTATTAGTTTTGACTATTTTTCATAAGGTTAAATACGAATTTTATTTTCATACCAATATCGCCACTTTTTAGCTACTTCCCGAGGGCCAGATCCAACCAAGCCCAAGCGTAGAAAGGCGAAGGATATTAGGAGAGAGAAAAAATTGGAAAAGCTCTCAAGAGAGTCAGACATGGTAAATTTAGTAATGGGAATCATACTGGAATGTTAGCTAAGCCGCACTTTGAAATAGATTGTAAAAATTTTAATACTACCTTCGTCATAATTTAAATTTTCTACATAATGACCGCTGGGTAATTTTATCGTACCACTTCAGACCACGGAACAAATAAAGAAGCACATTGAGGAAGCAAAGGAGAAAGAAGTGAAAGAAAACATACAGAAACGCGTACAGATATTGGACGAACTTTTTAAGCAAATGGCGCCTACTTTAACCCCTGGTCATAAGTTAGAGGTCATATGTATTCATTATTGATTAATTTTAAACTTTTTTATTGCATTACTGTAACATTACACTCTATAATTCCTCTACTAAGATCTGCTTGTTTTATTGCTGTTATACAGGTTAAACTTGTATTAGCAGATCGAAGCCTTCCTCAATTTCAGCTAACGTTTAAAAAATCGCACGAAATATATCAGAAATATCAGATGGCAATCCATAATGATAGACCCGACGAATGCGATGAAGGGCAGGTAATATTGCTGTACTTGACTTATCTCGTCATTCGGTTACTTCTGTTACCATATTAACAAGTACAGCTTTACAAATAAGTTTGTATAGGGCATTTTATAGTTACACTTTATTTTTTTCTAGTTTAAACGTTTCCTGGTCGATACTGCGTTAATGGTATGTAGATAAAGAATTAATTAATATTTACGACCTAACTTTACTCTCTTAAAACCAACTTATCATTATCATTAAACTATAGGATGTACTTATTCTGTTCTCTGTATTATATATTAATGTTTTAAAACTATCCCTCTTTCTTATTAATTTAGTTTGAACGATCTCCAGAATTTCCTAGTACTGGATGTGGAACCTTTCACCAACAATATTATCTGGATGGTAAGAGTACTTCAAACCCCTGTAATTTACGTATAAAGTTTATACTTTATTTCTTGCGAACTTAATTTTACTGTCATTAACTATTGTATTACTGATCGTACTTTAGGTGAGCTCATTGCTGTTGGTGTATTGGATATTTTACCGCAGAGTTTATCTTCTGTCTATTCTTTA